TTTACAATTGCACATGTACACCTGTATATAAACACACATTGTCTATATAAACTGTATATAAATTGCTATGTGGTACATATAAGAATATATACATTTGGTATTTATATTTAACTGATCTTTATATATTAAAGTATACATACTTTTTAACTTATATTGGCAGTCAGTGGAGGACCTCCCTGTGCTGTTAAAGAAAAAATATAATAAAAAGAATTTTTTTCTGAACAGCTTACTGCTTAAGACAGTGACTTAAATATGCCTAAAACGTGCAGAGTTTGAAACAGCAGGGCAGTGTGCAACAAAATATTTTCGTACTTCAAGTTCCCCCTTATTTTTCTCTCTTATTTTTCTCTCCTTATTTTTCTTTCTTATTGACCTTGCTTTGCTCCATTAGATTTACTGTAGGAAAAGTCTCGTTTGCTGCATCAGATCCCAACATCAGAAGTGGCCAGAGTGAGCAAAGGAAGAGAGGTTCCAAGAGAATGGAAAACCATTCTCATGGTTTTGTCTTTAAAACAAACCATTATTTCCCAAAGGTGGACACAGGGCTGTAGGATGAAACTCACCCCATCTTCCAGGGGCACTGAAATTCCAGCACATAAAGAGCCCCTGAGAAGGTGAATGGGGGATGAACTCTCTAACAAAAATACGTATTTTAAGAAAAAGTGAAATGCTTCAATTCTGAAAGTGCCTTTTGATCATTATAACCTTTGGGTTTAACCACACTGGTGGTGTCTCCTGCCAAGTGTGGTTTACTGATGACACATCATCGTGGCACCAGGAATGGACTTGTTGATAAGTTAAATAATGGGACTACTTTCAGACCATTTTTATAGCTGAAAATTCTCATGGCATAAAAGAGTCATCATGCAGTTATTTCACTGTGGAAAACTGTTATTTTTCTTAGAATAACTTTGAACTCTGTAACTTTTTGGGACGGGGGTTGTTTTTCAAGTAAAACCCTGCTTCCTTTCTTCCCCAAAAAACTCAGCTTGTATTAGCTGGAACGATACCAAATCCACAAAGATATGTATTCAGACAGATTGTAAATTTAGCTAGAGCATTTTATATGATACTAAATCCAAACAAAGATCTAAAGCAAGATGCAAAATATCACACACACACACACACAAAAAAAAAAAAAGCTCCAAAATATATGGATTGGGATTTTTAAAGCTGAGTAAGGGACTCAGCCACACAAGTTTGAAAGAAATTGATTAATTATGTGGTTGATAATCTTGGTTTATAGGCCAAGTTAAATCCTGGTATAACTCCATTGTCTTCAGTGGAGTTGCACTGCAAATGTATTTGACAGATAGTCATGATTCTTCTCCAAGAATAACTTCTAAGGCAGAACTTTTAAACATGAGTGAATGAAAGTCCTGTGCCAAGTTCTACCCTAATTTATGCCCTGTACAGAACAGCTGACTTGGAAGCGAGGGTGTCAGGAAAGGCAGAAAGAGACATGAGTCTGTTCTTCCTTTGCTGGGACGTTGCATCAATTCCCTCTGGTGATGGTCATATCTCTGAAAAAGCAGTAATCCACAACAGTTTGTTGGAGATTCTTTCCTTCCCAGCCTGCAAGTTCTTGTGTTTCACAAGCTGTAAGTGTTCAGGGAAGAGCCTGGACTCATCTCAGTGGAGGGCCGTGAAATGCACTCCTATTAACAACTGCACCAGGCTGAGCCTTGGCTGCTTCAAAATGAGTTTGAGGAACAGCACTGGAAATGGCCATTTTAATATAAATACTGGAATTAGCTACTTAATTTAATCAGAAAATAATATGTTTCGGGCAGACTCAGTCTCAATGTTATTTTGAATCAAAACCCAGCATTTGGATTGGTTTTCTTCAACCTGTTGGGCTCGTTTTGGGCTCATTATTAGCATTAAACATGCCTAAGTAAAACTGACTGGTCAAACAGTTTTGCTCAGGTTAGAGGGAAGTAATGCCCATCTCAACTCATCTTTCATGCAACATTGTTGAGGACATAGGGGGGATTTTATTGCTTTGCCCAAAGCATCAATTTAAGCCAGCAGCAGGAATCTGACTGCTCCAGCTCTAAGTCTGGTGAATTGCTAATGTCCTCACTCCTGATTCCTCTGCTGGCAGAGTTATTTTACAGAAAAGTGATGTAATCTGGCAGTGGGTGAGCTCAACATAAACAGTGTGGCTCCACAGCGATACCCCTGCTCCAGGGGATCGTTTCTGGGGCACGAGCCAGCAAATTGGTCTCCAGACTGACAGCCCAAGCACTTGGATGCCCTTCCCAGCTCTTCCCTCATCGTCTATTTTCAGTCAAATCAGGCAGCAAAGTCACATACATTTGTTTTAATACTCCACTGGATGTCAGAGGCCCATCTGCTAAGCACCCCTAATGGGGCCAAAATGAGGACATTTCCCATCCAACATAGTCTGCAGTACTTATAAACAGAACAGACTCTGGATCAAGAGCTGCTCACATTCCTCATCTGAAATGCTGCTAATCTTCAGCCTCACAAAAACGTGTGGAAGTGAAAAGCTTCATGGGATGTGCTGTGATCACTGCCATGAAAGAGAGCAGAAGTGTTTTGAAGGAATTGACTGGGTCAGAAGAAGGGAGGCTGAGCAGAGCCAGCCTTGGAGGAGCAGCAGTCCTGCACAGCCCCAAGGTGTGTGCCCCAAAACTGACACAGAGCACGTGGCTCTGGAGCTGATAGTTCCCCACACACTGGGGTTGGGTTTTCTTCCCTTCACTGGGCCCAGAGAAAAGAAAAGTACTTAAAAAAATCCATCATTGGCAGCAGTGCCTAGCCAGTGGCTCACTGTGCTCACACTGAGGTCTGCCAGCAGAGAGAATAATTGCCATCTGACTCTGCATGGCAGCCACCTCCCACCCTTCTTCCTTTGGTTCAGCTCCCTCCTAAACCTCTAATTATTTCTGTATCTGCATGTGCTGCAGATAAATACAGCCTGGTTTCCCCGTTCTCAGCAGAGCTCACACCTGTGATCTCCAATTCCTCAGCTCTGCACACCTGCACCATTTCATCCTGTGTACAAAACTGGGGGTTTCTCCTCCCAGCCTCGTCTTAGCCACTCTCAGTCCAGATCTACTCCTACTTCTTATGGCTTGTCACTTTCTATACTTCTATACTTCTATTTCTATACTTCTATACTTCTACTTATATTTGGGCACATCCAAAATCAGCTCTTCTCCCTCTTTCCCTTCAGAGCTGCTGCTCTCCATGACCTTGTCTTAGCCATGCTTGACAGACTTCCATTCCTCTCCATCATTTCTACTCTCCTCTGCAGCAATTTCCATCTACAAGTAGAAGCACACATAAACAGGTAGATCATGTTTAAGTATTAAATATTTGGACAGGTTCTTCTGCATTTTCTCTCTCTTCATTAGCTTCTCCAGGTCCAGGCACAGCCTCTGCCACACAGGTAGCCCATCATTGCTTCTCCTTCAGAGTATGGCTGTCAAAGAACAAATTTTTAAAATCTGTGTGATTTGTTTTAAAATCTGTTTTAAATAATTTAAAATTTGTTTAATTTTTTTTTAATCTGTTTTTAAATCTGTCCTTGACAAAGATAGTAAGAGAGAATCTATTGCTAGCCATTAGAGAAGAATCATGACCAAACTTTCAAAACAACAAGGTGCTTGAACTATTCCAGCAATGATAAAAGATGCAGAAAAAAGTCTTGGTGGAACATCACCATGGATGGGAAATCAGCTATAAAGAGGTCATCTTCTTTTGTTATGACATTCAGGTTAAGGACCATGACTTGAAAAGTTACTTTGACTGAGAATTGCCACATCTACTCTGAGGAACATTTCAGCAAAGCCCAAGCAAAAAAATCAAAACAGAATTTCTGAAGGAAAAATAGAAACTTAAAATAACACCAACCTCAAATTGCTTCTTGTGTGGTGATCTCATTTCCTTGGGATCAGCTTCTTATTTCCCCTCTGAGTATAAGGCACAGCTAATCTTCTTGAAACTAATATTCTGATTGTCTGATTAAGCAAATCTTAATTAATTAGGTTTCTTCTGCAGACTCTTGCCTGATCCTGATGTTGGGCATGGAAGTCTGGGTTGAAGGGCATTCTCCTGGCTTCAGTTTTGAAAAGAATCGGAGCTGGGTTTTACTGTCCACCTGCAAGAATGGAAAAATCACATGAGTCTGATGGCAAGGAAAAGTTTTCCTGTAGCTGTAATTGCTGCACTCGTAGGGAGTGCAGTGAGATCTCTGGCTTCATTTGCAGAAAGGTTTTTGGATGGTGTGCCATGATAAATGATTCATTTACATCACTAGAAATTCAAAGCACTGCTTAGTTTTAAATTCAAGAATAATCAAAGTCCATATCAGCTGTTTTTAAAGGGTATGGAGGGATGGAAAAAACTAAATACAAGGACATAAGTAGCAAGATCTTAGCCTGTAAGCTGAAATGAAGAGCTACCTCTACAGTGCTCCAAAACCTAAACCTTTTTTTTCTATTTCTGCAAATTGATTAATAGCATGTATTATCCATTGGTTTGAAATATTTAATCTGTTTTCTTCAAGCAGGCAAAACGTGGAAGTTAAACTGTCACAAGGAAGGCATGCCAAAATAGAGAGGGAAGCTATTTAGCCAATTATTTCTGCCTTACGAGATTTACAATCCAAAGGCAAGTTTTCAAGAATAAAATCATTTCGATCAACCCCTCACTTCAAAGTGTCAAAGCTGGTTCCAAAACCACCAACGCTTTTTCCACTGGTTATAGGATACCTGAAGCATCCAAAGTAGTGGCTTTAACGCTGCAAAAAGATTTGGGGTTTTTGTTTTGTTGCCCCCATCCAAAAGCGTGAAGTGGGCCACAAACAGTGACAAGTTGTCGAGTGCCCCAATCAGCAACGCTGGCTCCTGCTCACGGTTCAGGGGAGCTGCTACCTGTGCACATGGAAAACTTTGCTGGGAGAGCTTTAAAAAATCTGTTGAGTTGATGTCTTGTCCTTCTCACCCGAAATCTCTTTGTCCCTCCAGCTCTCGTGGTGCGCTTCCTGACCAAGAGGTTCATCTGGGAGTACGACCCAACGCTAGGTAGGTTATGGTGTCCTGGAAGGGTGGCATGGAATGGCATGGCTGAAGCAATAGGAATCACAGAGTTAAAATTCCAAACCTCAGCCAGCCTCTAAATTTGCTGCAAAAATCTTCTCTGTGGTCATTTGAAGCTGGAACAAATTGTTTCCTACGATGGCAGAATAGAGAAGCAGTAACACCCAGACAAAGGCAGAGTTACTGTGTGGGGCACATTTCTGCCCACTCAGAAACCCACGGGAATTCTGCCATTGAAATAAGTTGCTTCAGTATTTTGCTCTTCAAATCATTTAGTGTGAGATCAGTTTTCTGCTTTTGAATAGTCCAAACGTGTTCTGCTTGAGAATAAGAAGACTGGGATACAGATCTGTATTCTGGAACAAATTCATATTCCTTAAAATTCGTGGTCAAAAAAAGGCAGGTTTTGACAGTCAGCCTTCTGTCCTGGTGGGACACTTGTGGTTGGGATCTTTTCCCCCTTGGACTGAGTTTGATGAGAGAGAGGCAGTTTTCTCTTCTTGTTTATTCTTCTCTAATCTATATTACATATATACAAGGCACAAGGAGCTACATGCACTAAGATAGAAAGGTGCAAAATGGCCAGCAAAGATCTTCTTCAAGGTTTTTTATATGTCCATTTACCCAATTAACAAATGCCAAGTTAATTATTTTTCTTAGTGACCCAATGACCCAACACCTGTGTGCTGCACTGAGGCATTTTCTATCCAATCACTCATTACTACCCAAAAACCTTGAGAAGAAGATGAAGAAGGAAGAAGAGACAACACCCTAAATCCTCCATCTTGCCTCTTATCTTCTCAACTGGCTTAAACCTTAGACTTTAACTTTTTCACCCAGTGACCTAAGAAAGCTCTCTAATTTACACACATTCTCAGTTTTTCTATTTAACCATTGTTTCCGTGGTGTTATATGAAATTCAGTGTTTTCTTGGTATCAGAGATAAGGGCACACACTCTGTGCCTCTGACTCCAACAGCCTACCTAGACTGAGGTAATTTTTTTTTACCTCATTTTCCAAACATATATTCCCTCTCATTTTTGAGTGACCAGAGAGGGGAACAAATCACCTAAAGGCCATCCACCTTTCCCTTCCACTGCTCCCACTTAGCCCTGTTGGGTCTGGCATTTTCAAGAAGCTGGCTATCTCAAAATATCTAAAATATCTAAAATATCTAAAATATCTAAATATAAATAAAATAAATATAAATATAAAATATAAATAAAATAATATAATATAATATAATATAATATAATATAATATAATAGATAAAATATATCTAAAATATCTAAAATATCAAAAAAGATATCTCAAAAATCTTATTGAACAGTTGCCCTGAATTAGAGGCTTCACTTAAAAACTGTGCCAAGGTCAATTTTCTCAGTATTTCTTAAATTTCCATATATTTAAATTCTCAGTAAATATAAATGCTCTGCAAATCCAGGCCAAGAAGTCCAAGACAAGGCATTCACCTCTTAGAAGGTGCCTTCAGAACCTCAGGACTAAGCAAATCACACGCAAAGTAAAGGGTTGGAAAATCCTCTTTTCTCCAAAAATGTGTTCCTCTCTCCTTCCTAACGTTTCTTTGCAGACTTCAACACAGATCATGCAGTTAAATATCAATTTCTTTATTAATGTTCTTTCCTTAAGTCTCATTAAGGAAATAGAAAATGCCATAAAATTGCACAGCAGAAATGAAGTTTAATAAATTCCACCCCAGAACCCAGGCAGCCCTTTGTAAAAAAGCAAATATCCAGGATCCTACTAAGTATTTTTGTTAGGCAAAAATGGAGAGATGACAGATATCAAAACTCCCATCTTGGGAAAATAAATCTCAGCACAACCTGAACTCAAATACATTCTTTTATCTGCTGCTATCAATATATCCCTCAATGAATGAATTATGTGTCACCTGCCTTGTGCTGCACAGTGGAATGTTCAGTGGAATGTTCCTTTAGTACTGCTGGTGTCAGAACTTCACATTTCTATCACCAGTACAGCATTCTTAGAACCTGACAAGAGTTGTATAAAGTCTTCTCTAACAGTTTAGTCCAAGTTCATCAATTTCTTGCAGGGCCACTGCATGCAAAAGCATCTTTTTTGCCTTGTTTAAGCACACAAATGAAGCTGTTAGCAAGCTACAAAGCTTATTATATTTTTTCCCCCCATTATGAAGGCCCCATGCTCTTTTTGCTGTACAAGGCTTGACATTTATTTCTGCTTTACAAATGAATACAATTGCAAATTACCGTGCCCCTCAGGAATCTAATTGTCTTCTCTTTGCAGCACAGAAAGCTTCTGTGCAGGCAATAGTGTTATCTCAATAAACTCAAAAAATTAAGTCTCTCTTGATTTACTGAATTCTACATCCCCATTCAGTTTAGAGAATATTATCTTAAATTACGTATTGCAGTCATTGTGATGCTCAGAGCTCTGGGTTGCTCTGAAGAAAAGGTTTGAGAAATTCAAAAACTAATAAACTATTGTCAAGGAGTTATTTCTTAATCACAGTAATCTCTGGTAGAAGCTGCTCACCAAGAGATTGTTTTGTAAAGTATTATTTTGTCAAACTACAGATCACAATGGGATTCAAAAAAGGTGCTGGAGTGTTAGAGATGAAAAATTATCTTGAAATTGTAACCATTATTTAGGCCTTCAGAGATCAATCAGAAAGAAACTGTACCTTGAAAAGCTTTGAAAACCAGTGCCTGAAAAAAATGCATTTCTGTTTTTTAGCATTGTCATCCTGCAGTGATTTGGTGTCCAGTTACCTGTAAACATCTGAATTCACTGAGAAGTTTTAGCAGAACAGATTCATTTCTGCTCAGCAGTTCTGTGGAATATCTACATGCTCAATCAATATAAAAAATTAAGGCTGTGTCTGTGAGAATCATTTCCTCTACAGGGAGAAATGAGCAGCTTTGTCAAGTTATTCTAAAAGGACAGGAGTAAAACAGATGAAAACCATCCAGATACTAAGCAACTGGAGGTTTTGCCAAAAATCGCTGGGGCTGTGATAAAAATGTCAAATGTATGGTTTATTTCTTATGTCAAGTTTTCAACCACCCATTAGCCCTCTGATGCAACCAATCCCCAGATAATTCCTATTTTTAGGAAAGCTTTCACCAAGCTGTTCAAGGCCTGAAGGAAATTTAACATTAACCTAAACTAAGCATCATATGTAAAAAAAAAACCAACCCAAACCTCTTCCTCTTTTTATTCAAGGGAGGCACATTTTAACTGGGAAGGAAAAAACACACCTTATAAATATTCCTTACTATTCTAACCTGCCAGAAGAAAATGAAGGGCCCTATTTTTAGCAGCACCTGGATGGAATGTTGTACCACCAGGAGCCAAATTACCAACCACAAAATAAGATTTTTTTTGAACCCTGCAAGCTTTGGGAAACAGAGCTGCTGCTGAAGTCAGGGCTTTGCAGCTCTGCCACTTTTGTGCAGATGCTGGATCTGTGCAAACACTGGCAGGACAGCTGCATCTTCACTAAAGTACTTCTCACTCTGCTTTTTATTTAACATTTCTCAGCCAGAGGGCAAAAACCACAGCAAAGGTCATTTTCCTGGGAGTGTTAACCCTCAGCCTCCACTTGTCCAATATTTCTGTTTAACTGGCAAGTCATTGTCACCATCTTGGCACAGGGTTGTTGTTTGCTTTTCCAGAAGGTGCTGAATTCCTCCAGGTAAATTCCTACCTGGCATTATCAAGGTGAATGGGTTTCCACATCCATCTCCATTTACAGTAAATTGCAGCTATCTCACATTTCCAACAGAATTAGATGAAAGAGCTCCATGTAGAAATGGGCTGGAACTGCTCACATTAAAAAATACATGCAGTCTTTTTCTAAAACATTAAATACATAAAGAATTCAGCATTAGTCTTCTCAAACTAGTAAAATACACACTGAGAAAGGGGATTGGGTTCCCACCAAATTCACTATTTTTGAATAGTGAAAATAGTTGAAAATTCAATCATTTTGAACTTTTGGATTTCACCAATATCCATTAATGTCCACATGCTCTTAAATAGAACACAACCTGAAAAAAAACATGTAAACAAGCTCGGTGTGATGTTAGAAGACCTCAAAATGCTTGGCCTGGGTTGGGCACCAGTGAAGTCACACTCTTATCATGAATGTGGAGCTCCTGTGGACCTCAGTGACCCCAGGGCTTGACACCACAATTTTCAGGGAATTCAGCAGGGAATAGCTGCTCTCCCCAGTCCCAGTAAATTGCAATAACAGTCTGCATCTCAGCAATTCCCCCCAGGAGCTGCTGGCAGTGCCCAGAATTTAGGCTGCCTTTGCTTGAGCTCGAAGATGGAGAGATTTTGTGGTTCACTTTGATATTTAATTGATTTTAAAATTGGAGATGCTGAATCAGAGTAATCATGGGAACTGATAAATTTATTTTTTGCTTTTCCTGGGAGGCAGAAAAAGGAGGAGAAGGCCCAAAGAGCTGTCACAGGAGCAGACAGATAGAGGAGCTGCAGAGAACTTCATGGGTAGCAGCAAATTTCCTGCCTCCATAAGCCAAGACATGCAGGGAGAATCTCCTGGATCAAATGATGAAAGAAGAAAATTCATCATTGCTATGGCTGAGCCCTTTTAAAAATCATTTTTGCAGCATTTCTCTGAGAACACATTTGTTGTTCTAAAAGCTGAGCAATTTGCTTTACTAGAAACAGAGCTGGGGAATCCAAGAATTTTTTTTAAAAAAACCACAACAGAAACAAACAAGAAAACCCTAAAAAACCAAAAAGGGGAGGAATTATGAACTGTGTTGTGTCATTTGTTTTGGGATAGCATTTTTATGTACAGCTGGGAGAATCAGAGGGTTCCCGAGGCTCAAGGACTTAAACATCAATTTTTGCTACATAGGAAAAAAACCCAAACAAATGAAACCCCAGGTAAATGCAGCAGACAGGCTCCTCAGCTCTTTTCTTGTTTCTGTAACTGATTTGTTGTCTGC